GATAGATAGATAGATAGATATATGATAGATAGATAGATAGATAGATAGATAGATAGATAGATAGATGATAGATAGATAGATAGATAGATAGATAGATAGATAGATAGATAGATAGATAGATAGATAGACAGACAGACAGACAGACAGACAGACAGACAGACAGACAGACAGGTAGGTAGGTAGGTAGGTAGGTAGGTAGGTAGGTAGGTAGGTAGGTAGGTAGGTAGATAGATAGATAGATAGATAGATAGATAGATAGATAGATGATAGATAGATAGATAGATAGATGATAGATAGATAGATAGATAGATAGATAGATAGATAGATAGATGATAGATAGATAGATAGATAGATAGATAGATAGATAGATAGATAGATACATAGATAGATAGATACATAGATACATAGATACATAGATACATAGATAGATAGATACATAGATACATAGATACATAGATACATAGATACATAGATAGATAGATAGATAGATAGATAGATAGATACATAGATACATAGATACATAGATACATAGATACATAGATAGATAGATTGTTTTTTTAATGTTCATTGATGTGATTAATCAAAAAAGTTAAATGTGAATGTTAGTGCCCTTTATTCAGAAAATCCACATGTCACATCTACATTTCATGATCTGTTTATAGACACAGATTAAATGTTAAAAATTAATATTTCTATATATTTTCCCCACGGTACGTAATAATGTTACATACGTTAGTAGTTGTAAACACTCAGAACAACACATATGTTGGTTTGGTGTTTTTTTTTTTTTCCATTCATTCAACCTTTATTTACCCATTGAGCCTACGAAAAGAGAGACCAGATTTCCTGACCTTTACTCTAAACATTTAAGGAGTAAACATTTTTAATAATCACTATAAAAGCTACAAATGTTATCTTTGGTGCCTGCTTGATGAATGACAGGCATCAACTTAAAACACTTTGTAGAACAGTGATTTATGAAGTTCCGTCCCTTTCAAGACTTGGATGGCTGCAAACTTCTTGAGTTTTAATGATCAGAAGACTGAGGTCGTTGTGTTTAACCCAAGCTCTACCACTGTCACTGATCCTGTAAACCTGCACTCCCTTCAGCCTCATCTAAAGCAGTCGGTTACCAATCTTGGTGTAGTCTTAGACTCAGACTTTAAGTTTAATAAACAGATCAACTCTGTTCTACAAAAAAGCTTCTTTCAGCTAAGGCAAATAGCAAAGCTTAAGTCCGTTCTGTCCAGATCTGACTTTGAAAAAGTAGTCCATGCATTTATTACTTCCCGGCTGGACTACTGTAACTCACTTTATGTTGGGGTTAGTCAGGCTTCACTTTCACGTCTCCAGCTCGTACAAAATGCTGCAGCTCGGCTTTTAACAGGAACTCACAGGTTTGAGCACATTACTCCGGTTCTGTCCGCTCTTCACTGGCTTCCTGTACGTGTCAGAGTTGATTATAAAATTCTCCTGCTGACTTTCAAGTGCATTAACAGCCTTGCACCATCATACCTCTCCGACCTTCTTCATCCTTATACTCCTTCTCGGGCTTTGAGATCATCAGACCAGCTGCTTTTGGCCGTACCAAAAACCAGGCTGAAGCTCAGAGGAGATCGAGCGTTCTCAGTCGTGGGCCCTAAACTTTGGAACAATCTGCCCATTAACATTCGACAGGCCACCTCAGTCTCTGCTTTTAAATCTCTCCTAAAAACACATCTGTACTCACTGACATTTAACACAGGGTGATCAGCTTTAGATCTAGTTTTTCATTGATGCTGATTCTGTTTATGCTTTTGTTATTATTCCTATTTAACAAAAGGTCATCTGACCTGATTTAGTATTTCATTGTTTCTGACTGAGTTTATGCTTTTTGTTATTATTTCCTTGACTTTTGACACAACGTGATCTGATTTAGTATTTCATTGTTTCTAATTGTTTTTGGTTTTATATTTTTATTCCATGTGCTGTAAATATATCTTGCTACTTTTTATCTGATGATGTGATATTTTTGTTAAGCACTTTGGTAACAGTTTCTGTTTTAAATGTGCTCTACTATAAATAAATCTGACTTGACTTTCCTTCGGCAATTCTGCCACATTCAAAATGGCGGCGACGTTGACGTACCATTCAGCGCTCTATGCTCGAGAGAGTGTGTGTGTGTGTGTGTGTGTGTGTTTGGTTGGGGCTTAAACAGCACAACAGAGAGGCGAGGTGAGGGCGGTCACGTGACCGCACGTTGCCGTTGGTGAGCTTTTTTTCCCCCCATTATGGCGGAAGGGCAAGCCGTGCGGATGGGTCGTCTCTCCCACTCCGGCGCCTGTTTTGTTTCTTGAGGGAGGGTTTTAATTATTATATATTTTTTTTCGCCTTTTTATCACTTCGAAGCAGCAGCCTGGGTTCTTCTCAACCAGACTGTTTTCGTGTTTCTCGGCGAAACCATGGCAGACCGCGGCTCTGATCTGTCCGCCCTGCCGAAGGAGGTTAGAGACCAGTTGGCGGAGTTGGATCTGGAGCTGTCTGAAGGTAATAAAAAAGAGGGGAGTGGGGCTTTTCATCATGGGGCTGGTGATGGGGGATAGCCATGTATTGTCTCTTAGCTCTGTAGGCCTACCGGCTTCAATACAGCACCACTTTTCATCCACCTGCTCCACTTTAATGGTCAGACGGCTTGTTTGGTGCTAATATGAGGGTCTACAAGCTAGCAGCATTGTGAAGGAGGTGATACCCCTTTCGTCCTTTTCCTCCTTTATCTCCACCATCACGTTTTGTCAACAACAAATATCCCCACTTCCTTTCCAACGTTACATCAAAGCCACACCTCGTTGCGTGTAGCTGTCTTAACACCGGCGAGCTCTGTCATCTTGAATATGTCACCGTGATGCCACGGTGGTCCAAGCCTCTGCCAGGGTGCGCATGCTGGAGGTTTCCGTCCAGGACACGCTTTGCTGCCGTGAAAGCGTGAGTCACGGTGATGCGTGTTGACATGTGCAGGCCTACAGACATCTTCTGCTGTGTCATATCAAGACTCTTTGGGAGAGTTGCAGCTCCCCATTCATTGAAACCATTGTGTCCAGATGCTGGTACACGTGCACATCTGTCATTAGCAGGTTATATGTTCACCTCCCCCTTACAATGTGGTTAAAATAGTATTTTGTTTGTGCTCTCACTATTAGATAGATGTGTATGTTTTGGTTTGATGGACCTTCTCATGCATCCATTTAATGTATAATGAAGGGCAGCCCTTCCCCCCAGCAGCTGTTTTTATCTCCTTTACACCATCAGTGACACACTGACTGTCACCCATCCCTGACAGGATTCCCCACTTTGCCTTTGTTCATCATCAGTATGGAGCAAATATCAACAAATAGTGGACGTTTGTAGTGTCGGAAGGATTTCCCTAATGATTTTGAATGATTTAAAATGTCACTGTTAAAAAAGTCTAAAAATGATGGGTATAAGAAAACTGGATGTAGCATCAAGTTGCACTATTTGTTTCCAACTTTACTCTGAACATGGAGTTTTGAACAACAGATGCAGAATGTCCCCACTTCTTACTGCTTGAAACCTTTACTCCCGTTTAAAGAAATTATGACGTTCGTGAAAACTACCGATTTGTGCACATACACGTTTAATGTTACATCAGAGCTGTACTCGCAACCAGCAAAACACTACAAAGAAACAATAGTTTTGTTTTATAATGCACTCGTAGCACTTCTAAAATAGGAACAGCCAAAGCTGAAAAAAAAAAAAAAAAAAAACTAAAACAGAGAGGAGTATAGTTTTATCTTTTGCATTAAGTATCAGCTCATCCTGTTGCTGATGTTGGAGCTCGTGCAGTTGCTGTCGAGCTGACTGACCTCGGAGGTTAATGTGTTTGACATATGAAGTTTAGTTTGTGTTGGCTGACCTGTTAAACACCTTTTATCTTTTCTCTGCTTTGGGATGTTTGGTACATTAATCATAAATGATATATGCCTCCAATCTTAAATAATCATTGATGAGATTGAAATGACTTGACTTTAATTGATAAATCTTTCTACATTGCTCTTTATGCTGTGATTACTACTGCGTCTGGTTAAAATATATCGTGGGCGGTTGTACAAATTGATGCTAATTAATTTTCACTTTGGTTTATTATCGCCATCACAAAAATGTTTTTGCCCATATTGTGTGTGTGTGTTAACAAAATATCTCACAAATCACTGGACACATTTTAATTAACCTTACAGGAAGTCATAATTGGATGTTCTTTTACAACTGATTACCTTTTGGACTCAACCCAATTCAAAATGGCCTCCACAGCCAACTGGCCCTAAAAATGTATATAATAGAAACTGACCTAAAATTTGGGGTGGTAGTAGCAGAGGCTCATCCCCAACACATTCTGAGAGCTAACAGAATGCACTTTTTATATATATATTTGTTTAAAATGTAACTGTTTGCAGTGAACTCTGTCTTTCTGTGAGTAAAATATCTAATTAACCACTGGATGAATTTAAGTGACTTTCAGAAAATAATCATTATTAGACGTACACATATAAATGATTAACTTCTGAAGTCAGTCCAATTCAAGATGATTGTACAGCTCACCAACCTTAGCCAACAGAAAAAAGGCAACAAAAATGAAGCTAAAATTTGATGTTGTAGCTGGGAGTGTTTTACAACTCATACTTCGAGTTTGGCATCTCAGGATATCAAGATGGTTTGACCGACATTGCTGTAATTTTCTCATTTCTGAATAGAACATCTTGGGCCAAAAATCTCTGGGATAAAAACAGCGGGGGATAGGCATTTCTTCAAGGAATGGCAGCTCTTTAATTCTTTAATTTATATTGACCCAGTTCAAACAAAAGTCATCTTAAGATGAAAGAAAGTTAAGAAAGTATGATTGACAGCTTAATCAATACAGTCTGTTTTTGTTAAATATCCAGTTATAATTCAACCGAACCTGGTCAGATCCAGTGTATTAGTAATTGTGAAGTATCTGTTTGTAAAAAAAATAAAAACACGTCAAGTAAATCGTATAAGACTTTATAAAATACACCATTTCGAGCATACACAAAACAAAAGATGACTGCAGAAAGGAAAATCTCCTTTTTACCAGGAAGGCCAGTCCAGTAGAACCAGACTCAGGAAGGGTGGGCATACTGGCTGAGGAGTGGGAAGACGAACACAAAAGCTCTGTGCCAGGGGGATGGAATAAAAGTATTTAAAAAAACCACAATGTTATCGATAGTAGTGTTAGGACAAACATACAAGGAAAGTAAGAAAATAAAAACTGCAGATTGAGGAAAGGTGGTCTTTCTGTTCTCCATCTACCAAATGTTATAAATGTAGAACTAAAGAGATGGCTCAAGGTAGTCCCAACTTTTGAGCGTTTATCAAAATGCAAAGTTTTAAACCCATTCTTGGAAAAAGGAACAAAACAAGATTGTAAATTCCTGACACCAAACAGTTGACTGGTTCTACAAGAGTGGAGCTCAATACCCGAATGCTCTACCTCTCATTCTAGTGTATGGCTTCTTTAGAAACCACCGTAAACCTTCAGTATAATAGTAAAAAGTTTTGCATGAATAAATATGCCATTATGAAGTTGTTTGAAATAGGTGGGAGCTTTCGCTGCAGCGTTTTGGGTCAGCTGGAGGCTTTTCAGAGAGTTATTGGGACATCCTAAAAATAGAAAGTGGTAATAATTCCGCCTATAGATACTAGTGAGTTAAAGGACGAATCCTGGCCAAAAATAACTCAGTCTCTCACAGTATTACTGCAGGCCTAAGTACCGGTAATGTAAACCAGAAATTTAGATATTTTTTTCTTCACGTTGTCAAAAACAACAACTGTTTTGTCTGATTTTAGAAGCAGAAAATCTAAAGTCCTACAATCCAAGAAACTTGGTAATATTTAAAAAGCACGTATAGGCTGCACAATAAATGAAATATTTCTTGATGATACAATATCATTGTGCACAATATCAACATCACAATAACTTCAAATTATCTCAGTCACAAACTGCAAGTAAAAATGAACATTTCAATCAGATGGATCCACGTTTAAGCACACAGAAAGGAGTGTTGTGAACATGACAGAACGCGAGTTCATCACAACTGATACTGGTATCAAAATATTCAATAACATTGCAATAGCATGTCTTCCTAATATTGTGCAGCCCTCATAATCACTTTTACATGTCAATGAATTGTTTCAATCACTTAGAGTGAGAGACATTTGTGTTTGTTCATCAAGAAATTCTGTTGTTTTCCATTAAATTTATCCTGCTGCAGTTGATATGAGCAAATATTGTAATATGTGTGTGTGTGTGTACTCCCTTATTTTTCATTATTTTGTCTAGTTTTTCAGCTCCAGCAGGTCAATTGATGTTTCCTCATACAGTCTTGAGACACTTACTGGTGTTCCTCACCAGTAAGTGTCTACTGAAACCTGTCACCTATGTTTTTGCTTTGGTAAACATAGTAATGTGGTTGAGGACACTAGTTGTTTCCAAGGCTTCCTTGTTGTGGTCTTATGAAGTGAGACTGTAATGTTCTCCAAAAAGCAGTCCAGTTCATCGTTTGTATTTTTTAATGATGACAGTTTATTAGTGCCGTGTTTTTTATACTGCTGCTCTAACGCCCTGAATGCAGTAAGACAAAGGGAATACTTTCTGGCTGAACAAGCTGCAGCTGCTTAATATTCCAGTGTTTACAGTATTTTTGCTTTATGGGTGTAAAAGCCTCCTTGTCCCTTCATGACAGGAAGCGTTCCTCATGTTGCTACCTGATGGGTTATTTTTCTTCTGTTCATAACAAGCCTTCATCTAAACCAAGTGGAAATGCCTGTTCCTGTGTTGCTCGGATAAGAACCCAGAGCTGCCAAATGGCCTCTTAAAAACAGTTCAGCTCTGTAGCCCCCTGTGACTATGGGCACACAATGAAGATCATTCAGCTGGCCTGAGTCACTGTGGCCAGGAGATCTGCAGCCATTTAGGAAATTGATCTGAACCAAGGCAGTCGTCTATGAGTGCAAAGACCAAGGAGGGTCCGATACTGGTCAAATTCTGCAGGGTGTGGTTTTTTTCTGCAATGTAAAGGTTGTAACATGCGTATTGGGTTCATATCCCACATCACCTGGTGAGTTTGTTAGAAGAAAAAAAAAATGCTGACCCAAACAAAACTACATGAATGGTATATTCTGTTTAAATGTTCAGGACATACATGGTTCTGCTTTAAAAAACTCCCATTCCTTCAGTCTGCTTTATAATTCCTAAACTCAGGAGCAAAGCCTGGTATCTAGAGGGCTTATCTCTGTTCACATGCATGTGGAGTTACTGTATGTTCACCTCTGTGATTAGTTTGTGGGGATTGATGGTACACACAGTGGCTTCCATTTTAGGCCACTTGCTCTGATGCAGCAGAAGCAGGATGCATGCACTGCATATAAAGGGCAAGGCTCAGCAGAGCATGACAGCACTAATATGGATCTAATCTATATTAGCCATCCATTAGCAATCAGGAGCAGTGTGTTGG